TTAGAGATAGCTTAAGCTAAGTGGGATGCCCAACATTGTGTTTGACGGCTTTCCTCTTGGTCACTAGGCCAGATCTTCACAGCACAAATTGCACGGCGGTTGCAGTTTTGTTATTTGCAATTAGAATACCTGTCGTGCTTCTGGATTGTGACAAGCCAACTTGATTGTGTCTACAGATTGCTTTGAAATAAAACTATGCCACTTCTTTCGCTGGGAACACATCCGAATTATAGAGATTCGGAACTGCTTTCTTACGCACTGCACAGAGCAGTTACTTCCTTGTTTGGACTCATCAGGTAGATATATCTGAGCTGACAGAATAACCCAATATATTGTTGACGTCGTTCGCTTTGGTCACTAAGTTAGGCCAACAAAGCAGCGGTTGATATAGCGGTTGGAATTCGTTATTAGCTCTTGGATTACCTGCCGTTTGTCTGTATTGCGACAAGCTATCTTGAACGAGCCTGCTGTTTTCTTTGAACAATTCACAAATTCGATCACTTGGACCGGTTTCGAAGCTGATGTTTCAGGCTGCTTACTTGAAACATTTCTGTACACGACTGTCCTGCTTCGTCCTGATTTAGACTCGTCATCTAAAGAAAGCTTGAGCTGTGTGGGTTGCCCATCGTAATGATTTGTTGCTTTCATCTTGTCCTCCAGGACATTGCAACACAGAAGTTACGGATACGGCGGTTGGAAGTTCGTTATTGGCCTTGGATTACCAGCCATGGGTCCGGATTTCGACAGAATTTTGATTGAGGTTATAGACCGGTTTAAAGCGAACCTGTGCCAATTCGTGCAATGGGACCGCGTCCGAAAGGAAGAGCTTCGGAGCTGAATTCTCCAAAAGCTGTCTTCAAGACCGTTCGGGTCCGTCCATTTTTAACTCGTCAGGTTAAATTGCTTGGCCCAATATGTGATTTGGTATTAGTGGTTAGCGGTTTTCTCCTGGGCACTAGGAAAGATCCTCAGTGTAGCACTTAACACTGTAGTTAGTAGTAGGTTAGGGGTTCTTGGATTACAAGCCGTATGTTTGGATTTTGACACGCAACCTCGGTTTTGACAACATTTTGCTTTGAATCACACCTCTACCATTTGGATCACTGGGACGTCGAGAGATTCACAGCTGCTTTCTCTCAACAATGCACCCCATGACAGACAGTTTTGCTCTGTTTTTGACTCGGCAGTTAGTGATAGCTTGAACTAGGAGGGGATCATTATATCGTCCTTGACGGCTTTCTTCATAATCACTTGGCCAGGGATATAAAGCAGCACCAGAAACAGCGTTTATAATTTTGTTATTGCCTTTTAAATTTGCGACACGCAAGCTCGATTGTATCTACAGTTTGCTTTGAAGCAAACGTATGCGCTTTCGATCGCCGGGGCCGCATCCGAAGAACAGAGGTTGGTAGCTGTTTTCTCCCACCATCGCACTTCAGGAACGACCAGTTTCACCCTGATTTACCCTGGCCTGGAATATATAGCTTGAGCTGAGAGGTAAACCCAACAGAGTGGATGACTGCTTTCGTCTAGGTCACAAGGATGAACCATACACCACAATTACAAATTAGATTATCGTTATTGGCTTTTAATTTACCGAGATGTTTCTGGAATGCGTAAAGATATCTCGATGGAGGCTGCAGTTTGCTTTGAAGCAAACCTGTGCCATTTCGATTAATGGGACTGTAATAGGATTGTGGATGTTCGTAGTTGCTTTCTTCTAAATTTGTCACCCATGCTCGAAGTGTTTCCACATGATTTGGATACGTGAGCTAGAGAGGGTTTCACCGGAGAAGGAAAAACAACTTATAAGTTTATAGAATCTGTCGCCGTTACTAGGTTAATGCTCCAAAGCAGCGCATTATTCAGCTTCTGCAATTTTTTCTTAGCTCTTTTAGTACCCGACATGAGCATGGATTGCTACACGCTATTTTGCTTGAGGCTACAATTTGCTTTGTAGCAAATCCAAGACATTTCTATCATTGGGACCATATCCGAATTGGAGAGTTACGGAGCACCTTTCCCCAAAAGATGCACTCCACGACATGCCGGTTCCTATTCGATTTCTATCACCGGGACCGCATCCGAAGTGGTGTTACGAAACTGCTTTCTCCTGCCACTGCACTCCAAGACCGACCGGCTACCTCCTGATTTGAACTGGTCAGGTCGAGATAGCTTGAGTTAAGAGGGGAGCCCAACATAATGGTTGACAGCTTTCATCTCACTCACTAGACCAGAGCTGAAAAGCAGCGTTTCACATATCGGTTAATAGTTCGTTATTGGCTCTTGGAATACACACATTGTGTGTAGATTACGACCGCAGTCTCGGATAAGGCTACAATTTGCTTTGAATCCTCCTTACGTCATTTTGATTACTGGGACCGTATTATAGTGTAGTTTTTCGGAACGGTATTCTTTAAAATCTGCGCCCCACGACAGATGGGTTCCCGCCGGATTTGGACTCGTCATGTGAAGGTAGATTGACATGAGTCGGGAGCCAAACATAGTGGTTGACCGCATTCTACTTGGTCTCTAAACAATAGCGTCACAGCTACACATACCTGAATAATCTACCATGTAATTACAGGATCGCTTCGGTATATTTACCGGTAACACTAGTTTCAATGCACCCCTAAATATATTCACTTTTTGCTGCGTCTCGCTGCAATTTGCATCCAGATGTATTCTATATCCTTTCTTTCACAAACCGTATATTCTTATAACTGATCTATGCAACCTCGGGACAGTGCACCAATGGAAGTAACGCTCCACTTTTACAATAATCGTCGCATTGGATTGTTGCATATTTCGTGACGGTTTCACGGATAAAGACTAGTCATTTTAGTTTTACATGGGTAACCCACCCGTCTGCCGTTAGGATGCCTCGTGCTGATCAAATCAGTTTGACTATCAGTAGGTTAGACTTCCAGTAAAGCGGTAATAGTTAGTCTATCTAACTGACTTTCCAACTCAGGTTTCTATCTTAAACTCACCAATGCTTCCTTGGTTTAATTGAACCGCTCAAACGTAGATTTCGCTTTTCAATCGCTTGTAGTATAGAGATACTAATGTAAAATGAATAAACCGTGGATCTTTCGGATCAAACATAAACAGTGCCAAAAGAAAGATATGGTATTGTCCAAATGGATAACAAAATGCAAGAAGGAAATACATCAACAATTGTGCTGGGTAGGAAAAATGTGAGCCTTTACTAGGTATGCGATATCACTAAAAATCGCTGTAATTTAAGCCTACAGACGTATCTCGAAAACCAAAGTCAGCGCGTGGAATTACACAGTCGCTTCTAATAGGTCACGCAATAACGCAATAACGAGTTCACTGTACGGCGCGAATAGGGTAAGATGCATTACGTTCCCAGGTGATTTCATGGCGTTTATTGTACCTGGGTAGTTGTGTGCAAATGCGGGAATGAACGGACGACAGGCAAGTATGACACATTGGGCAAGTTATGTGGATTGTTGGATAAATCATTAAACGGCTTTCTTTCCCAATGGGTGCGATAAGTTTTCGAACAGTGGTCACCAAACAAGTGTTAAAGCTTGGTTTGGATAAAACCATGCCTGGCGGTGAATCTATAGATAAGCGGGGTTTGGCAAGCAAATTCTTATCGCAGTTTAGAAGATGGTGCAGATGCCAATTATAGTGATCCAGTGCAGTGTTCCAGTATCCAAGTATTTCATTGCCTGGCATTTATATCGCAGAGAAATGCATGGTTTAATTGCCTAGACAAGAAAATTCTCGGTTGATGGCAGTCTACGAAAAGGTGACTACTTTCATGTACTCCAATCAAACTGAGATACAAAGCTTAACTCCAGTTTCGTCTTTTAGATGAAAAGTGTGCTAAAGTAGAGGCAAAGTGTTTTTGTACAAAGCTAGACACGAAATACAGTACGCTATAACCATCTGTGACACCAAATGAGGCGTGGTGTTCCGCACAGCAAATGCTTAAACGCAGCCCACACAAATCCCACTATTGCGATTCCATGACAAATGTGGAAAGCCCATTATCGTTTATCTGTCTGGGGCCAACTTGATGGATACGGGCCGTCTTATGTTTCCTTAAGCAGCGCTGGACTTCACTGATTCTCCGCCGTCAATCACACTGACGCCCCACATACGGGTGTATCAAAAAGTTAGTGTCGCGCAATCAATTGGTGCATGGAGATAGTAAATCAGTTATTGTGTGTACGTTACAGATATCCTCCAATCCTTGATCTTGAAAGAGTATTGTGGCGAGTATATAACGTTGGTGCGCACCACAACCCCATGAAATACCGCCTAACCGCCATTATGTTCCAGCCAAACTGCTTACTACTGATTGGTGAGCGTTGTGACGCATTCTAAGCCCGTAATTTATCTTCCGATGCCAATGGTTCAATGATGACATTCCACTACGGAACTGTACAGGCCATTAATATATTATAATTCCATTCGATAAGTACTAGACTGCTAGTATAAGTCAGAATTTTCAAACTTTCTCTTGACCCTGAGCAAACCCTCGAGAACAACGTAATTTAGTATTCCCTAGTGGGAAGATATCTTTAAGTGTTGTTGAATCATACGCATGTCATATGCAGTCAGATAGAAAACAGCTGATTAATCCGATGCGAACACGCGCGCGTTTCAGAAAGGTCATGCATGCATTGCATGCAGAGAAATATTTGATGCACCACCTAGGCTTAACTGAGCCTCTTGACACTTTAGCTGTTCCTTTTTCAAACACTTAATTTCTGTTAGAATCAGCTACCTAATGTATTGTGGATTTGTGTTTGACAGCCACAGTCAATGATGTTTAAATGCCTAACAAGAGCATTGTTGTAATGCTTACCGGCTAAACAGTCCCTATGCTGATCGAAATCCATTTGCATTCGAGTGCATAATATTCAAAATGCACTGAGTTGGCCAAACCGACACGATGGTCCAGGCAGCTTACTTAGGCATTCTGACTTAATGTACCTCAGTAAAACCTAGTGTTCCTAATGATTCAAAAACTTAATTCTCACGTTCACTACCTCATTCGTTCGCCAGCAATTGCGTTCGCGCCATGCGGAGGAATGCATCAACATCGTGAGTACAAATTCGTGAAGTGTGTGTCTTTACCTGATCTCTACAAACGCGGTGTTGATTGTATGTTAAGTCATTTACTGCGTCAGTTGTGTCTAAATTAGTGTTTGCTTCCGTAGTTCAAAGTTAAAGAAACTTGAATTGTAAAGAAATCGCAGAACAAGCGGTGCACGCGCTGCTGGCCAGAATAACCAAGCCCCTCTGCGCGAAAACCTTGCGAAATAGTTTGCGTTACAATCTTAACTCCCTTTTCGCTTGTCCTTACAGTCAGAATGATAACAGGAGTACTCTTAAAGGATGGTAATCCGCTACCAATAATACGTAACTTTGAATTGGAAGACCATCCACCAGCTAGAGAGTTTGACGATATCTGCATCAAGGTAAACAATATTGCATTGCGTTTTTTATTAAAGGCACATAGTAATCACATCATCGTAAAAATGCTCTACGAATAGTATGCCTCGTCGGAATCGGTAAGGCTTATCTCTCCCTCCAACCCACAAACTGACCTCATGTCTGACCTTTTCGTCTATGCGTGATAACATTTGTTCCGACTGCTCACTGTAAACATGCTACACACTGAAAAGCATTATTTCCCATGCTATTACAGCTGCGCACCTCAATTTCGTCCAAGACTGGCGTGCCATATGATACGGTCGGATGTTGCTTTACTTCATTGATTGCCCCTCCTAATCGAACTCACGTCACTGTCAAGATAGAGAATAGAGGAACTGCTACACTGCGCAAGTTCGAATGGGAATTGTTCTTGGAACTTGAAAGAAGGAGAACTAATTCGACCACCATGGACTTAGAACTGCAACCACACTACGGTAAATTGGTCCCAATCATTGAAATGATATTTCGACACACTTGTGTTTTTATCACTATAGCTATCATTGGAAAACAATTGCGTCGCACAAACTATTGCTTGAATTTATCAATATAGCAGATTTTCCGTGGTTAGTGGTCACCTAATCAGAGTAGATTAAATCCGAGATTATCATAATGTACATATCCCTAACAAGAAGCCAAACTTACATATGACTTTTGAATTAGTGTTCTTATAACGAGCAAGCTGATAGCTGTATTCTTTTACAGAGACTGCAACCGGTGATGGGTATATAAGTAAGTTTTTCTACCATTCCGAGATACATAGCAAACAATGACAGCTAGACTACACAGGTTAGCGAACAATCCATTACTCCGCAGCTAGCCTCACTTCTGCACTTAGTGGGTACCACCGCAGTCACAACCAGACAGGTCTTAGTCCGTGGGAACTGACGCGACAATATAAATTAACACATCTCACATCGTTCATCAGAGTGAGCAAGTCCAAACAGATAACTACTTTCGCGACTGTATGTCACTTAATGGCCGGTATCACAAGTGTAATTTTCCTATCGGCACTAAAATATTTTGGCCAATCGATCAGCGGTTTTCAGATAGGTTGTAAGCAGGGCACAGCACCGTCCAAAGTTACTGAGTATAACCCGCAAGTAAGCACAAGCACCTACATGATGATCACCACAAACATGAGCATCAGTCAATGTATACTGATAAAAACAACTGTTTTTCGTGAAGTTTAGTATGTGTATATTATTCAGACTCCTGATACTAACTCTCTAATTCAGCCATCCGAATTGCCATGGGATTCTTCGGAGATAATTTGTTGGGCGAATGGCGCGGGGTATATGGCAGTGCAACTGAGGTGATGGATATTGCGGAGACGACCTGTTCGAAAGTAAGCAACAGTTTGGAGTGCATTTATAAGCCATTTGCGCGGGTGTATTCAGCGGGGTGTCTAACAATTGTTGGAAGACGGCGGTGCCCAAACAGAGTAATTGAGACAATGAAACTGCTCACCAGATAATGCCCCCTTAATTCCCAAATCAGAATAGACTCTCAATAATACGCGCTCGATGAGCTACTTAGAGAAACTTGCCATTTATTCGCTAGTATTTTATTGGTTCTTGCTTTGGCGTAATCGTTGCAGTTTGGCTTACAATACATGACAAACATTGAGTGAATTTGAATCTTTGCACAACAAATAACTTTAAATTCGCAGAAACCATACCGGTTACTCTTTGCTGTGTTATGGACCCCGGTGACCGTATGCACACATGATCGGATACCGTATAATCTATGGCGTTCCTTATCAAATCATTGACTGAAAAAAGTAACCTGATTGAAGCATCGTTGCGCTGAAATTCATTGGAAGAAGGCGGCATGTACAGCCTTGTATGCCCTTGATTTCGACACGTCTGTAACATCGCATCCACTTTGTACCCCACGAGTAGATCAGTTTGAGTGCAAGGTTGCTTCATAAAAAAGATCAATAAAATGTGGAGAAAATAGATAATTTATTCACAATTTCTAACTCATAGTCCAGTATCACTCATATACGATCAATTATCTTGTAACATATTCACCATACTAATGAAAATATTGAACTATTTTCACTGGCTCTTGTATTTACAAGTTCGAGAAATGGGCTAATACGGAGAAGAGATTGGGCTACAAGAACTTTAGTTGCGTTGTAACCGGTCAACGCTGGAGATTTATGAAAGGGGTCTTTTTCTTGCACTACGAGTCGAATGAAGCGGATGCCACCTCATTAACGAATGATGCCTTGGAAAATCGAATCATAACGGGAGTTGGTAACGAAATCACTGCCTTGTCAATTGAAGTCCTAACTGCTACATGTTGATGTCATTAATAAATACATCTAACCAACCTCAAAGTTCTTGTGCTGATTAGGGCGGAAATAAAATTTTAAGTTATGAAAGCTATCATTATATCCTATCTATGTGAATTACAGTATTTGCCTTAATTTATTGGTTGTTTGCTTTCGTGCCCAGTCGAAATAGTATTGAAGTACAAACACATTTGCTCACAGCATATACATATATATCTACAACTGTGCGTTTAGCAAGCCGAACACTGCGTTGTAAGTCACACGTTCTCGTCAATAACTAACGACCTTTCTGAGTTGATGAGGTTTCTCTTTGGTTCAGCTAAACAAACTTTGAGTAACTTTCACGAATTTCGGCCAAACTAATCCAGTACATGAATAGGTTATGCCGGTTTCCTAATGGCTCTCTGGGTTGCAAGTTTGGTCCACCCATTAAGCCGATATGATAATCCCTTGTCTTTACTCTCTACATTGATATGCGCCATGTACACTTTAGCACTTAGCGTCTTCTTCGCTGTATCTGCAGCCGCGGACTTCAAGCCACACGCCATAGGGCGCTCCACTCCCAATTACATTGTTGTCAACGGAGTCGTCTCAAATGAACTCGATTTGTTCTGAGCGTTTTCCCTCCAACAGTTAAATCGGATAAACTTGCACCGAGCTTTCTGGTCAACACACCTTCCCTCCACCGCTCTAGACCACTGGGTACTGTAGTTAAACTATAAACTACAACTATAACTAAGCCCACACTTCCTCCCATTCTATTGGCTGAGGTGGTACTCGTGCCTCACGGTCGTAGTACAGTTTCCGGGTGATCATTGTTCTTCCCAGACTGTTATGTTGCCTCTCTTGCGGTGGCGAAACTGAGCGCGCAAGTGAAGCAAATGCCGGCATCAGCGTTCCCGTACTTCGACTGTATAGATTTGCACTAGGCTCAAACCGATATCTGCTTTAGGAGATTAGTGGCTCTCCAATAGAACGAGGTACAGATCTCTGTGAGTAGCTCTAGTTTTTGTTGAAATTCGTTTGACCTGCTTCACTGCCGCTTCTACCTTTCTATTCCATCGATTGTCTTATGGGCTGGTCTGCTGGTGCGGGCATTCCCATAGTTTTTTCATAGGCGTGTAAAGCAGCGTAGGCTAATTGGGAACCATCGTCATAGACTAGCTAATCCGGTAGTACTTGCCACGCGAATTGTTATCTGATCTCAATTAGCAATCCACAGTAATTAAGTACTCTCACTCGGTGTCACAGAAGAAATCCACCCTATTTTCGGTTACGTTCGACCAGGGATTCAAGCAGTATCATTGGTCCCCTCGTTTATCTGATTTCGTGTGAACGACACGCATCGAGTTGACCTGTAGTTCCTGGCCGAAGAGCAATTCTCTTGCGCGGTTAATGATATAAGTGGCAACCAGGTGAGCGCGATGGATGTATCTCAGCATTTCTTCTCGGAGAGTTGACAGCATCCGAACACATCCTCCCTTGAAGAGCATACCATCATAGATAGAAAGTTGATCACGAAAAGTAAAGTAGGTTGTTGCCTGCAGCAGCTGTTTCTTTGTCAGTCGCTGCCTATTTACGATAACATCTGGCAAATCTATAAATGGTTCACCTGCTTATGCATGACGCTGTATTGCTTTTAGTCAAATTTATTTACGAAAGGATGCTGTACTAGGTTTACTGCCTCGACCACTTCCCGGTAATACTCGGCCACTGTCAAATGAGCTCTTGACAGTGTATCCAGATGAACAGCTGTGCACTAGGCGTGTACACAATTTCCTCGTCCTACTTTTGATGCCAGATAAGCATGCGTTGGATACCATGAGGAACGGGGTGTGGCGGTTTACTGGCTATCCACAAAAGCCGTAAGTTTACAAAGTTGTGTATCTTCCTAAAGTAAAATTCTTGCACCGATCCATGGGATAGACAGCCTGAAGGATCTCATTCCAAACCTGCGCATAGCGTCGCTTGGTCACGGTGGATGCTCAACTGCATACATCAAACTGTTACCCTTCTGTTAGATAGCAGCACCTAGTTGCTCTTGACTAATATCCCACTGTAACTCCATAGGCTGCGCTGGATCGTTATATCTAAGTACAGGAACGATGCTGATGAGGTGCCTGTCAGTTGCAAATGCGGTTCTCTGGTCATTTACCTAATTTCAATTTACTACTTTGTGAATTAGCTTCCTGGTCGGCATCAAGATACCCGATATTGCTGGCATAAAACGACAAAAATAATTCACCGGAGCTAAATACACTTTACCAAATCTGAGAGTCAGGAAACGAAACAAAAAGCCATAACAGATTATTTGTAGGTAGGTAGAGAGTTTGACTTCATTCACCTAGTAAGATTTGGAGCTTGGTGGAGGGTGAGTGTGAAATATACATCCTTGCTAGGTGGACGGCTTCGTCACAGCTGCCGACGAAGGTCGGAGCCTGTGTTGATAACATGGATGCCAAAAGCACGCACGGGAGACGGTTGCTCTAACGATATCAAAAACGAAATAGAAAGAGAAAATAAAATGGAATGGATGGTGACCTCCTAACGCAGCAGTTACGATATTTTCTGTAAGCGCGGAGTAACATGTAAACGCAGCGGTGAAGATAAACAACGCTTTTGGCCAGATCTGCGGATGTCGGCAGTCCTGAGCGGATGGACGGTGAATGTAAACATAGTGTATACCGCTATCCTGATGAGTGAACAGGAAATGCTGAAAACTGCCCAATTTTGGATTTATTAGAGTGTGATTCACATAATTCATTACTTATTCCGCAGCTTTGGGGCGCGTATAACAAGTTGCTAGGATCCAGGCAGGTGAGTGACTTGGACAACTTTAGCCAAACGCTGTCTAACTGCTGCAAGGTGGTATGGCAATAAAGGTGTTTCTTTCCCAGGAGACAAGAGCACAACTTGATTTCAAATTGTAAAGCACAACGAACCGTTCCAATGTGCTTAGCTATGATGCAAATTAAAAGTCCACATTCATTATCGTGACGGCCTAGTTAAAAGCTGATTCTCAACTATACATTAAAGGCATTCACGAGTCCGTCTGAGGTGCTGCTGAATTGTTCACGGATGAGTCACTGACTACATCGCTGCTACACACATCTCCTTGGAAGGTAATTTAAGTCGTCAAAAGAAGCTTATTCCACCTATACGGACGCGTTTTCATCACCTCAGGAAACACTGCGGATTAAACTACAACAAAGCGTCAAAGCGAAAGCACATACTGAGAGCGGTAAAACGAAACTGTTGCACTATTATTTAAACATGTGGTCACCTAAGTGGTGTTTCACAGACGATTCTGTCATCGATTTGAGTGAATGGTATAATTTTCATATCCATACAAAATTAAAAGCCAGAAGTGAGCTACGGTGCCGTGTTACAAAGGATTAGTGCAATAATTTCATACTGAACATAACTATTACCAGAATAAAAGAAGGAACAGCAAATGTGTTTTTAGTTCGCAAACGTACGGCGAGCGGTGCCATATTGAATGGCTATTCAAATGTATTGCGACAATCAAACCGACAGACTGATGGATTTGAGTTCAGATGCAGACGAAACGATCGTTAATCAGTCGGCAGTACCCTGCAAATATATAATAGCCGGGATTCAATGCAAGCTACTCACGAAGTCGTGAGGGTCAACAATCAATTCCAAGATGTGCAAAAGTCAGCTTATGTAAGGTCACAATTAGGATGATCAAAATAAGGTTTACATGCGTTCGGTAGGGTTGCTTCAAAAATTGTAAGAGCAGAAAATCCTAAGCATCGAGAACAGAAGAAGACATGCTTAAACTGTCAAAACTTCAGTAACATGGTGTTTCATTTGATCGACCAGATAGGATAATGTTATAGCTTAAATTTGGACCTTGTAGAAGAAGTGGAACTAGTGCAGTGACCCGGAAAATAGGACGACAATGCCATTAAAACAAGGAAGAACGAATCTAAAGAGGGCATCAGCAGCGATGGTCGGTTGTGCAACTCGAGGTCTAGTGAACAATATTGTAATGGGTCCCAAGCGAAGAATGATCTCGTGCCAATATCGAGTACAGCGGACGGCGTAGTGGTAGCGAGCCTGTATTTCTGAAGAAATCCGATGTTAATCTAATATCCGGTAGTAACCCATGAAGATTGACGCAACCGCGATAAAGCAAGTCTACTAGAGTAGGACGAATCTGATCTAATCATAAAAGGACGCGAAAATGAAGATATGCGGGCAAATCAGGGAGGAATACCTCGCGGATTGCACGAAATCAGGGCATGAATTTGACGCCGAGCGAGAAGGCAAGTCTGTAGCAGTTGGTAGTATAGCAACCCATTCTACATTTGCAATAAAGTTTGTCCGTTCTGGCCGCTTCGTTCTCGCTACCGTAGAACTGGCTACGTTTTTTGTATATGATGTGAGACGTCGATTACTATCCTGAACGAAAAGTTGATGCTTGCTTGAAAGTGTTTGTTCTAGATAACTTTATTGAGCGGTTTGCTCAATAGTTCAGAGCAGCATTAATTAGATTCACCGGATCTGACAAAAGGGATACAATCGCGTTTAACATGACCGCGGGAAAGTAACAAGGAAACAGAATAACCAGGGAGAAAAATTAATGCATCTGCAAATATTAGAATGCAAACACAGGGAATGGAAATCATTGTGAGTCTTAAAACAATAAAATAAAAGCATTCTACCATCCAAAAGGTTTGAATTATAAATGTAAAATAGGATAGGTAGAAGAAAGAGGTATCCTCTGCATATCTAAAAGCACGGAGTGGAGCTATGTACAAGTGTTTGGTGTATGAAAGGACGTAAAATACCGAACTTTGCATCCCAATACTTGGTAAGGTTTGTATATAAAGTGTGTGAGATTGACGGAATCACTGGTTCATCTAACTCACGTTGGAGTTGAAAAGCGTCCTCGATGTTTGGGGTGATGCGACCCAAAACGATGCCATCAGCACATGCAAAGCCAATGATGTTCGACGGGACAAAAATGCTTCCGACGTAGGCGG